TAATTCAAAAACGTCACTTTAGAACTAGTAACGAAGGAACATTGAGTTGCTTCATTAAAAGTTTATTGTGTTACTGTCAAAAATGTATTATGTATAGTAGAGTATTATGAGAGATTGACTGAGTGATCGTGATTACCTGCATCTGATACAGCATTCATTCTTCAGCTCAATCTCATATTCACAATAAAACATTAGTTTGAATGTCTGATAGGCTCGTACTATCCTTTCATCTGTTAAGGGTGATTCCTGATGGCGGAACAATGTAAGTAAAATCACCATCACGAACACACACACAGTTTTGTAATACTAAATACTACTATTATTTATATAAAATATGATTTATTGAATAATAATATTTAATAAACAACAACAACAACAGCCATCATAAAAGTTGCTAGGCAATTTAGTCAAAAGTGAAAAAGCAGCGCTCTGATATACAGCATTGACATTATATAACCATGATGAGATTTTGCCCAAACTATTTGCTCTGGAACAAATAATATATTAATGAGACCAAAGACTGGCCGTTAGATTTACCCAAAACGAAATATATCTCATGTTTAACCATTATAGAGACATCAGAGCCAGCAGTAAATTCCAGAAGATCTGGCTGAGGTGAGGCGCTCTCGGTGGGTTCATGAGCGCTGAACGGCCGCTGACGTCCTGGAGCTCACATCTCTGAAAATTTAAAAAAAAAATTGTATTGGATTTGGGCGCCCGCCATGACACTCGCTGAGTCGCTGTGAGAAATACTCCAACTTCGGCAAGCGGTGAAATGGCTGTTGGAATTCTGTTGGACTCTAATATCAACACTCTTATCAGCCAATCAGATTTGAGGACCAGAAAGTACTGTTGTAAAAAATATATATAGGCATCACACACATATTTTGCTTCACACTGCAGGCCCATCAGTTGTATTATAACTACAGTCCATACGAACACTGGTTCCAGTTAAGTTCAGAAAAGCACTTTGTTCTTTTTGGGTCTGATCCGACTCAGACACTAGGTGGAGATGGTTGTTTAGCCAACCTAGTTTAGCCATCTCCATAACTGAGGCAGATGCGATACGCATCTCGATGCATAGCTAACAATACGATACATTGAAGATACATATGAAGTAGCTTGCAATGCGATTCACCCCTATTACGATGCAGTACGATCCGATCCGATCCGATTCAACACAATGCGATTCGATGCAATACGGTGCAATGGAAAAAATATGATCGCATTTATTTCTTTGGTTCAGACAGACAGCAAATCATAATTAACTTATGTGACTACTGACTTCTAACGCCTCAAGGCCTGTTTCATATAACAAGTTTACCAAATAGGCCAGGCTTATTTCAGTTAGTCTGACTCACTGTCAAATGATTTGGTTCCATAAAACAAATTTAACAAAGATCAAAATCAGTCACTGTGGCAACTTATGCTGGAAAGCTAACCTGGTCCAGGACAGGCAAACTGTCAGACTAAGCTGAGCTCCTCTAACACTGAACAAGAGGAACGCATCGATATTACCACTGACTCTCTCACATACTATCATAGTCATGCAGCCTTTTTCTCTGGTTTAATGACAGCTGTACCTTTTATAGTTAGAACAGATAGCATTAGAAATTTACAATCTCTTTAAAGCATTAAAATCACTAAACTAAAACTACATTTTAACTGCTATAAGAAACACACATTAAGTAGTAATTAAGTAGTAAGCTTAGTAATTAGGACTGTATTAGCTTACATTTTATTTACCCATTACAATAGTCCCTTTACAGTTACTGCTATCATAAGAATACACCTATATGTAGGTTTAAAATTCTACAAAAGGCACATTTAATGTCCAACAACGAATATTTTAGCAAAATGCATATTTGACTCAGAATTATTGCACTCCGTCTGTTTAGCGTGCATGTGCACAGCAGCGCTCGTTCACTCGCGTATGCCTCGCCCACTCCTGACAGCAAGCAAAATGGATATATTTGCATGACTTTCTAACATTTACAGAGAAAAAATATACTCGTGGCATGTCAGTTATGCACTGATTTATTGGCCACATTGGCCACCGCGCAGCGGTGATGAGAGAACGCACTTGAGAAACAGTTTCGAGAGAAGTCAATCTACATATAAAATATTGGTCACAGATTATTGGTCACTTTCTAAACAGTAGCATCCACTAGTAATTATATATAAATAAATCTGTTTTTACCGATGCAAATATGTTAATAACGATGCATTTTGCCAACTTGTATCCTATGCACACTTTTTAAACTGATGCATCGCATCGTTAACTTTTTTTGCCGATGCACCGAGCGAATCGGTTAATCTTCCCATCCCTACAACCTAGTAACATACTGTCTCTGTAATGTTATGCAAACTTGGTGTCTTGGTGAACTGAATTTGTCAAGTCAAGTCAAGTCACCTTTATTTATATAATGCAATTAAAGGGATCATATGATGTTGCTAAAAAGAACATTATTTTGTGTATTTGGTGTAATGAAATGTGTTTATGCGGTTTAAAGTTAAAAAAACACATTGTTTTCCACATACTGTACATGATTGTTTCTCCTCTATGCCCTGCCTTTCTGAAACGGTCTGAAAAGCGAGGTGTGCTGTGATTGGCCAGCTATCCAG